AGGGGCGAGGTTGTGGTTAGAACGCTTGGTTGAGTGCATCAGACGAGACGATGAGGACCTTCATCAAAGCCGGAACTAATCGAGCTGTTTGTGCCAGGATGGGGAGAAAGGTATTTTAATAATGTAAATTATGTGAAAAATAATGCGTTTTTCGAACCACCAAGCATGAGAGCATGTTCTAGTACACCCCCAAAACAAAATCAAGACTTTGTAAAAGAGCATAATAGGACCCCTTTAAGACAACATTAAATCCAAATTGGCTTTTATTTAATTTCTTAGTCTTGCTGTGCATGACTCATTTAAGCAGTTTATTCATCAAAATCGAACAACTATCTCCATTTTGAAGTGCCAATCTAAATTATTTCCACTATTTTTTCACTTAGAAATAATTCACATTACAAACGCAAAAGGTTTTCATTTTTGGGGGTACTACAAATGCAAATAAGTTTTACTACACATACTGTAAATGTATATGATTGTGTGAAGATCATCAGTGAACAGCCCTTAAGATATGTCGCTATTGTCTGTCATGTACACTGTTGTACATTCGACACAGCAGATGGTTCTTATTAGCTAACACTGTGTTGTGCAGGTGGAAACAGTTCTAAGGAACGGGGAACCCACGGAGAGGAAACTAATTAATCCTTTTTTCAGAGTGGTCAAATGTGACCTGTGGTGCACTAAAAATTCAGGCTAACAGTGAAGAGAAGATGAAGCAGTAGGAGTGAATTAATCTCCTAGGAAGAATTTGGCATACTTAGTATAGGTATATGAGGTTACATATCTACTAGGCTCCACTTCCACTTCTGCCAAAAATTACAAAACGTAGATGATGATCACTCAGTTGACTCCATTTAAACCGAAGTAACTTTCTGTATGCATGTGGGACATTCTCAGCAAGTGACCCCATTTGTGTTTTCCCATGAGTTAATACTGATTTATTTAACAGCATACTGAATTTAGACACAATATTTGGTTGATTTAACTCTTTAAATTAAAATTTTAATCATGCTATAAAGTTTAATGTTTAGTGCACATAATGAACTGAATTAAATGAACCATAATTTTATCTTTAAATGTAACTGATTGGAATATCAAATTTCTACTCATTCATCACATTACATTTCAGTTTCATGGAATGTAGAAACAAATCTAACTAAATTGAAATAAAATTACAATATATATTTAATATATATATATTTAGTTACTTTGGGCTTGAGGTTTGAATTTACTGTATTTCCAGTAGTAGTAATTTACCTGCATTTTTCTCACACAAACGGCATTGTTTTTTGAAGATGACCCATATATTGTGTTTGTGACAACTGCTTGAACAGGTAACAAAACATGCAGAACAAGTCTTTGTATAAAACCAAAAATAAATAAATAAATGCAACACTATTTAAAAGAACAAGAGACCTGTAAGAAGGAATAGTCTAGAAGCCCCTTGTGGTGCTTTCTGACAGTTTATTAAAGGCAAATCTTTCAAAGCTATGTCTGGAGATGAAATGTAACTGGTGAGGCTGTTGCTATAATCAGTATTGGGAGATTGTTCCGCCGCTGTGATCCCATTGGCTGTTTATGCGCTAAATCAGTGCTGATCTATGTATGCTTTGAAAAGCCATCTGCTCACCACCGCCTCTCTATTGTCCATTAATTGCAGAGTCATGTACCAGAACACAGCTAATGACAATTTCAGCTTCAAGAGAACACGTCGCCCTTATTTATGGCCACTCAGAGTGATGAGTGCCTGGCTGATGAGGGATGTGTGTATGCAGACAGACTGAATGCCCCAGACGGCACAGACGACGTGGGATGGCTACTGATGTGCCGTCTGTCTGCTTAGCAGGAGGAGGAGGGGTGGACAAGGTGAGGAGTATGAGTGTGTGTGTGTGTGTATAAAACAAGGGAGGTGGGGACGGCTTCGACGTGATCTGAAACTTAACGACTGAGACGAGAGCGGTTGAAGCAAAGTGTGGGAATATGTGGCTGCATCGCTGCCAGATTTTTAAATATTAATTTGTTCATTCATGCTCACAGGTGACCCACTAAGGGTTACATATTGATATGGAGACGCCATTATCTGCTCTGACTGCCGGGCTGGCTGGATGACAAACATGGAGTCGAAATCATGGAAATGGTGGATCAAAATCAAAACATTTTCACCCTGCATAGGAATTAATGTGTTTTTGCCCAAAGCTGCCAGAGAACAAAGCAAAGCTCTATTACTATTCCTGCTGGCCCATCGCATATCTATAATATGAATAAATATCTGGTAACACTTTACTTAAAGCCTTTATGTATAATGCATTATAAAGGGTTATTAAAGGGTATAATGTATTATAATTATTCATCATTTGCGTTGTAATACATTATCTTGTAAATAATTATAACTGAATTTAAAATGCATAGTGTAACAATGAACTGATAAGTGTTATAATGTATTAACTGTGGTTACAATTATTCATGAGATTGTACAATGCATTATAAGGTGCATTACAAAGCATAACTAATGCTTTAAAACTACTTTTATAATTATTATAAATTATTTATAAATACAGTTATTGTCAGAGTTGCACTACTGTGAGGAGCGAGGAACGAGGAGACGAGGCGTGAACTCAGGAGTAAACAAAGGTCCATAATCACGATAATCCAAGGGTTAACACAGGGCAGGCTGGAGACACACGTAGCACATGGAGACATTCAAGACTCGATAACCAAACATGGGGCAGACTACACTTTAAATACATAACATAACAAGGTAATTAACGAGACACAGGTGGATCAGATAACACAATCAGACAAGGGAAAAACTAGGTCACTGGGAGCAAAAACACACTCAGACAGTCCAGGGGCGTGACAGTTCGCCACCCTCCTGGAAGGAGCGTCCTCACGCCGCAGAAACAAAGGGTGGGAGGGTGGACTTAGGAGGATGACAAAGGAGTGGAAGTGGGATGGAAACAGGCGATGGCAAAGGGCTAGCAGGAAATCAGGCAAACAAAACTGGTGGAGGTTCAGGAAGAGGACGGACTCCTGGGAGGAGGATGGCAAACAGAGTCCAGGGAGGAGACGATGGAGGGAGGAGCCATGGAGGAAACAAAAGGAGCCAGGGTGGATCAGGTGAAGGGAGGTGCCAGGGAGAAGACAGGAAGGACTTGGAGCAGGAGGAGCCAGGTGGGACCCAGGCCACAGCCATGATAGCGACCCACGGTGGAGCCGATGGAGGGAGGAGCCATGGTGGAGGAAGGGCTGGCGACTCCAGGGGGCCGACCACCGGTGGCAGAGAAGGTGGCGGAGGAGCCCGAGGCGGAGACGGAGAGCTGATGAGCCAGGGTGACGAGGAGGATCCGGAGGACCACGGCAGAACCGGTGGAGAGGAGGGATCTAGGAGCCACGGTGGAGCCGCTTGGCCGAGGCAGAGTCCTGGACTCTGAGGCTGGAGGCGGAGACATGGGATCCTCCAGCCATGACGCTGATGGAGACTGGCAGACCCGCGGTGATCCCACCGCACAGATGATGGGCTGAGGGTGAGCAGAGGGGCTGCCAGACGACAGCGGGGGAGGAGGCAGGAGCTGGCGGGTGGGCGGGCATTTGTGAGCCTCTGGGCTCTCTGGGCTGGACTTGGGAACAGGAGTGACAGAGGGCTCTGACAAAGGAGGGAGGAGAGGGGCAGGTCAGTCCACAAGTCTATAAGGTCTCCCTCCGTTTTCCATTCACCCAGATCTATAACTAGCTCACCCTCAGCCATGGTGCAGTGGGCGGAGCTCCTCTCTGCGATCTCACTGGCCACGGCTTTCTCCCTTGTGGCGGGCGTGGTAGCCAGCTCTCGCACCTGGTCTGACGGCACAAACAGCTCCGGCTCCGCGGCGATCCTCAGCTCTGTCGCCCCTTGCGGCGATGGCTCGTCAGTCGCAGCAGCCTCAGGCTCTCCGTCAAAGGTGGTCTCGGGCTTAAGCTCCGCACAGCGAGGTGAAGGTGGGCTGGGCTCTGGGTCCGGAGTGGAACTGGTGAGATCCTCCTCGGAACAGACGGTGAACGGGGATACATTTCTCGCCAGTATCCATTCCACATAGGCGGCGAAATCCGCTCGAGGACCATCTTCGGATGATGGCGCTCTGAACACGGGGTTCAGGCTGGCGTCATAGAACGTGCAGAGTGTGTCGTCCAGGTAGGTGGTGAGCTGGGCGATTTCCAGAAACAGTCTGGTATGGCCCTCGAGCGATCTCTCCCCCTGCTCCAGCAGGAGGAGGAGATATTCTGGATGGGAGAAGGGGTCGAAGAGATCCATGGGGAAAACAGAAAACAAAACACTGAACAAACACGGAAACAAAAACGGAGAGGGAAACACGCAGTTATACTTCTGTTTTAAGGTCGAGTCTTCTGTCAGGGTTGCACTACTGTGAGGAGCGAGGAACGAGGAGACGAGGAGTAAACTCAAACAAATGTCTTTAATCACGATAATCCAAGGGGTAACACGGGGCAGGCTGGAGACACACGTAGCACATGGAGACGTTCAAGACTCGAGAACCAAACATGGGGCAGACTACACTTTAAATACATAACCTAACAAGGTAATTAACGAGACACAGGTGCATGAGATAACACAATCAGACAAGGGAAAAACTAGGTCACTGAGAGCAAAAACACACTCAGACAGTCCAGGGGCATGACAGTTATACATAAAGGCTTTAAGTAAAGTGTTACCAAATATCCTAATATAAATTTATTTTAAAATGTCAGGCTGCTGGAAAAATCAGTGTCTCATTCAATAACACACTGAATTCATTTATCTGAACATAAAAATTTCAAAAATTATGACTATAAATATGTTTGCACTTATGAAAAATTGATTAGCATTGATTTTTTTAAATGACTATATGGTAATAAATCTGTAGCCTTGCTATGATGTGCATACTATAAGCAAAATATCAGTCTCAAGTCATTGAATGTGTTTTTTTTTATAAAAAATAATATAAAATAAAATAAAATAAATAAAGCTTTAAAAATGCTGGGAGAAGATCACAAGCTCACCGCAGAATTTTATTGACAGTGGTTTCCTTTTCCATGAGGTTACGGGCCCGGATGCTAAATACTGACTTTCGGAGCTAGGAAGAAAAAGCAGTTTAGACAGTAAGATGCACACAGGAGACACAGATCAATACACAGTACAATTCAGACGGATGTATTTGCAAACAGCTATTATTATATGGGTAAAGCTGAATTTGATATCAGCAAACAAAAACATCCCAATGTAATCAACAAAATGTAGTTATGTAACTGCTGGTTATTTAAGTCTTGTTGCGTGGGAAATAGATCTGTTCCTTTCAGAACATTCATGAACGTATTGTTCAGTCCCTGTGTGTATTGAGGGGGCAGACCGTGGGAGTGATGGAGTGTGGTACCTTCTGATCTATGTATTTATTATCCTCAATGGCAGACCTCTTGGAATGGTCGCAGGATGAGGACGACGCTGAGGGAAGGTGATGGAGCAGACAGCTGAGGTCCTGCTGCTGTCGGTCGATGAACTGCTTCATGAAGCTCTCCCTGCGGCACACGCCCATGGCACACACATAACCAAACAGTCACATGCAACACACAAGGGACTTCACGTTTTCAGAGGATTCTTGAGGACAAAGTAGGAGGCATGCAGTGTAAAGGAATAAGTAAGTAAAAGCCACCACCAAGAGAGTCCAATTACACTCTGTCTCATATATATGATTTGGAAGCCTCCTTAATGTAAGTTTTTTTTCTCTCTCTTCAACACATCACAAGATATGAGGTATCATTCAGTGCACACAGTACCTGATTCTAGGCACAGTGAAGTCTGATGGCAACTTGGAGATTTTCACCATCTGTGGTCGATTGGGGAACTTCTCAAAGATCCGTAATCGCAGAGGAAGTTTCTCTTTCGTATCAGCATTGGCTTCGCTCTGTTTCAACTGTGGAGAGAAGCCAGAAGACTCACTTGAAACAAATGTCTCTTTCTGTGACTCAACTGAGAGACTCTGATGGGGCCACATCGTGTTTTCACACATAGCCCTCAAAACATTTGGTGGACAGTCCAAAATTGACATAAGTTGTCCATCTCTACTTCTGACTGCCCCTTTTGAAAACTCAGCGGGTATTCAAGCAGAATGCAAAGATGGTGTATTTTATATTCAGTTACTCACTTCTGGTGGTGAGAGAGGAAGGGGTTAGCCTGTATGGTGCACTGCTCTGAATTAATGTGGCCCGCTGAGGCTTAACTGACTTTATGTGCCATAACCTTTTATCTTTCTTCATGTCTATCAAGCAACATAAAGCCTCAGATGATTAGGCCGGAGCACGCTAGAGATCCCTTTTCATTCTTCTGTCAGAAGAGATGCATAAATTAAAGTGAATAACGTAAAACTGAGATGACAGATTGTTTCAAATTTTTTAAACTTGCTTATGAATGCACATTAAAATAAATTCACTCGATTCCCTACTGATTAAAAAACATGTAATTAGTTTGATTTACTAAAACAATAACCCTAATTTCTAACTAATTAAAATCTTAAATTCTTATTTAATTCTTAACATTATTTAAACATTTAATTATTTTAAAAAAAATAAAAAATTTTGGAGAACAAGACGTTCGTTTGGCAGGATTTAAAAGCAAAATGTTATGTTAACAGAATGCTGTTCTGCTAGGCTGTCCAAAGATGGCAGCAGCGCACAGTCTCAATGTAGTTATCCGTCCATTACAACACTGGCTGTCAACTAGTTTTGCTTCAGGATCCACATTTTACACTGACATCAAATGGAAACCCAACAGTACAACCCAATATTTAAATGTATTATTTATTTATTAGACACAAAACAGTGGTTGGCACAAACCATGTTTATCCTTCTTGCAAGTGAACCCATATTTAATTTAATATATATTTACAGTAAATTGTGTAGATTTGTTCATGGTTTCGACAATGTAATGTTGGCATCTTTCTAATTTGTCTAGCTTCTACCTAGTGTCAATAATTGTTTGTCAAAATACCATAGCTAGATATATAGAAAAATGCCATTGTAAGATCAAACAATCAGACAATAAAAGATATGGGATATGGGAAGTGTTCTTTATAAGCCTATTTATTTTGCTATCCTACTACGCATGATTATATGGTTAGTTGTATTTTATTTTCTCGCAAACAATTATTGGTTCGCTATCTACCACTACCGCAATATAATATAATTCAACACAATGTGTATTAGGGAAGCACAGCAAAACTGAAATATGTATTCAGAAATGACTTTCTGTCAAAAATAACGGAGAGCAATTAGGCCTAATTTAATTACATATTTAAAAAAGTATTGGAATTCTTATGCTGGAAGCGTGCGCCTGGACGCCTGTAGATAAATATATGATGCATTTCTGATTAGAAGTAAGAACCATCAAAATTAGGTTCTTTGATGATAGCTTACCGTTGGAAATAAGCAGCTGACCTGGACCCTTCAGGAAATTAAAAGCATTTGGCAAGAGTATCCAAGAGGAACCGTCAAAAAATAGAAATGCAAATAATTTCATTGCATCATATTATTGTATTATGAGATTTTTCTCATTCATCACTCGAATTGGCCATACATTCAGACCTCTGTAATGCAACACATGCTATTCTTTCAGAGTTACAGACAGCAGGTCGTGTTCTGTGCTGGAAGTGCTACAGTGGAGAGGATGTGCTAATGCTGCTGAGAGCCTGTCTGCAGTAAGAACAATGCTGTTGGATGCTTGAGCCAAGAGAAAATGTGCTCAACATGGATCTTGATGATTTCAATGTATAGAGGTGAGAGTAAACACCTACTCAAACCAAACGGGACGTAACCAAAAAGTGCATAAAATCAGTCTGGACCAGTGTTTGTGGCCATTTTGAAAAGTTCAACAGGAATCCATTGTTTATATAACACAAACATTCACAACATATATATATATATATATTAATAAAAATGGGAGGGGACACACAACTTCACCTCTATCCCTTCCACGCTAGATTTTTATGACATATGTTCCGCCTCTACACCTAGGTATTTAAGAAAGGGGTCCCAGATCCTATGAAACTTAAAGGGTTTATCTCTTAGTGCTGTGGAGTAGGCTTCATTAGGGATAAGTACCTTGGAGATACTTATCCACTGGGCCACCGAAGGGGTTATGGTTGTTATCCATTGCAACAAAATACACTTGCGAGCACAGTGTAGCAATATTTGCAAGAGCTGAGTACCTTTAAAGCCACGAGGGAGGTCCTGTGTTAGGCCCAGTAGGCGGATCTTAGGTCCTAAACCGCAGAGGGCAGGAGAAATTTTTCTTAAATTCAAAGAAATCACCTGACCAGAACTGTTGGACTTTAAACACCCCCAAAAGCAGTGTATGAGGGTTCCCTCAGCAATCTTGCATTTATTGCAGAAGCTGGATACAGAATAGTACTTAAGTGAGAAAAATACACAGGGAGACCAACCATTTGCTGTGCTTCTTGCTGGAAAACATACAAACCGGTTTAGTCTGCACTGAAGCAAAAAATAAAAAAAAAGAGTCTAAATTTGTTTTAGGGCAACTTTATTGTAAAAGAGTGTGTGTTTGAAACCTTACAGTTCCCCAAGGCTCCAATCAATAGCTCTGCACTCTGCGGGGTGGCTTCAACTCTGTGTTTTACTTGGCAATAGCCTCTGATTAGCTCTCACACAGAGACACACACGACAAGGAGCACTGCAGAGAGAAAAGGCGCTCCTAACTAATACCAACACAATTTACATCCCTCTAGTATAAATAGCTAACGTGAAGAATCCTCCCAGCTTTGCAACGCCACACATCAGCCCCCCTGTTTATTCCAATCTGGTAGCTAAAACAAGTGTTTGTACAATTAATCACAATGGATTCAAAATTTGAAGCTATTTTTAGGTAACTGATATTTTAAAGCAAATTTTCACCCAAAAATAAAGATTGTTTCAGAATTTACTGACCCTCATGTTTTTCCAAACCTGTATGACTTTTAATAATGGTGACAAGAATACATAACTTCAGCTGCAATCTGTTAATCGTGTTAAAAGTGTTAACTAAAAATAAAATGTTAAAGTGCCCCTATTATGGGTAATGAAAGGTTTATATTTTGGTTTTGGTAGTCCCCAACAACTTGTTGACATGCATGCAATGTCAAAAAACACTCTTTTATTGTCTTATAATATGCATTTATTTTGACCTTATTTGCTCAACGACTCCCAAATGATTCACTGAACGATTCATTTTTCCAAACCCCTCCTTAGCGAGAGGCTAATCTGCGGTGATTGGTCCGATTGGTCTCATTTTCATTTCATCCTGCCTGTAATGCCTGATAAAGCAGCGTTTATGAGCGCAGTGCTACTTTGTGTACAGCGTCACTGGGGAAACCACTATTTTTACCGCTCCAAAAGCGGCACCTAGTGGCAAAGAGTACATTTGCATTTTCATTAAGACCAACGCGAAAAGACCATCAAGTGGGCAGGCAATATTCTAATGTTTCATGTTGACGTCGACATGAAACGGCTTGGGATTCGTTTTAAAAACGACTCGTTTCAATGATTCAGAGTCAACTCTTTCTTTTGAGAGACAATAACTTTATACACGGTGCACTTTCAGATTTAAAACTTTGCAGGATGTTTTCATTCACTTAGAGCTGTGTTACACACTGCATGAAAGGTAATTTTCAAAAATCCATAATAGGGGCACTTTAATTGAAAAAAAGTAAAATACAAAATAGTATATAAATAATACTACTGTAACCCTTTGCATGGAAAGATCAGTGAGATTTTTTTTCTTCTTAAATATCTCATTTGTGTTCCACAGAAAAAAAGAAAGCCATACCGGTTTGAATCGATGTGAGGGTGAGTAAATGATGACAGAATTTTCATTTTCATTTTCGAGATGTGGTAAGTACATGTGATGGGAGTGCTGAAGAGGAAGGGAAAGCCAAATTCAATCAGCACAGCTAGAAAGTGAAATCCACCCTGATCAATAAACAGATCAATATCAAATATGCAAAATGATATGGGTTCACATACATTGCATACAGTGCAACACATCATGCTGATTTGCATCTCTACATGATTGCCTGTAGCTAGCTGTATATTTTCTCCCCCTGATGGCTTGTGGAAGGTCTGCGTGTAATGCATATTTTTTTTGTAAAAATGGCATATGGCCATAGCTCTTCATAATGATGAATCATATGTAGCATTTTCCATAAATCACAGATGTGGGAACCGTGCATCTGAAATGAATGTGTTGGCCTTGGGACACATTAGGCTGATCCATTCACTCCTATTCACACATTCTTCCAATTTCAGGCTCAGGTGAACCCATACTAGGCTATTCTCCAAGTCCCCCACCTTTCAAGTAGACAAGGGTCCGGGTTATTGACCAATTGCTGTGTGGTCTGTGGCACATTCACAAAGGAGCCTATAATAGTGCGCTGTGCTCCCAGCGTCATGAATGATTGGTGGGTCTACAAATCTGTATGTCACCATCCCACAAATTTACTCAACAGGCCATTAGACACATTTATGCTCCAGTTAGGTCACCATAAAACAGTGGAGAGCTAATGTAAGTACAGGTAATAATGTCTAACGGTGTGTGTGTGTGTGAGTGTGATCTTCAGAGACGGCATCAGCAGACATAATCGCATATCGGTTTTAAAAAGGACCAGAATATTTGACATGTCAGGCTCAAAAGTCAACAGTCTGAAACTGGCAAGAATATAGCAGCAATAAAAGAGATAGTACACATAAAACTGAAAATTCTGTCATCGTGTATTCATTCTCATGTCATTTCAAACCCGTATGACTTTCTTTTGTGGAACACAAAATAAGATGTTTTGAATGAATGAATGAATGAATTTTGTCCATACAATGAAAGTCAATGGGGCCCAAAACAACACTGGAACCCATTGACATTTATTAAATGGAA